CTGCATGAATTGTACTGTCTCAACTTTATTTTCAACTCTTCTTGTTTGTCTATCATGTATTGTTGTCTGCTTTCGAGTTCCATTTTTTAAGTCGTTAAATTAAGTGAATTTCCGATAAATGGAACCACGTAATATCATATAGAGCGTGCTTGTTTGGCCTAGCATTATTATATTTGCGGGTATTAAAAGTAAAAACATTTACGCGTACTAACGACATTTCTTTTTTCGTATGGTCCTCGTTAAGATGATAGGAATATTTTATTTTTTCTTTTTCGATGTTTATCTTGGCTCTAGAAATAAAACCACCACCTTCAAGGATGGAGTCGGAACCTTCGGCAAACGATAAATGTACTATAAACTCTCTTTCTTGTTGACTTTTATGAACATCGATCGAGGTGTATTTTCCATCGTAAACAAAATACAGTTTTACGTATTCAAAGTCTGTTGTTCGTAAAAACTCGTTACTGCTCGATTCTATTGGTCCGGGTACGTATACGGGTATTATAAGTGATGGTGGAATTTTGACAATGTTGGTTAATGGTGGATTTTCCGTCTCCAATATCATATCCAAATCTTTGATTCCAATGATATCCTTATCATTTTCTACTTCCATTTTAAAGGTGTCTACATATTTACCATTTTTCGTTTCAATTTCCTGATCCCTTTTATCAATCAAACGTATATTCTCTTCCAAATTACCATCATTGAATAATGAAATATGTTTGACGCCCTTTCAGTTTGTTTGAAGACTGCTTTATTGACTTTAACCTTCATGGGAAACTCTATTTGAATCAGACAATTACCTCGAAAAGAAAACTCTTGCGTTTCGCCGATATCGAATACGTTTTTAGGTTCTCCGTATGCGAGAGAACCCACTTTTATTTCTGCTTTGAATCCGTATTTGTTTGATTTATAAATTTGGTCTTTTCTATCGAAGACAGTGTCACTTTCGAATGGTAAATTGAAATAATACGATTTGTCCGTGACAATAGCTTCTAATTTGCTCAACTTTCTCTCTTGTCTCAAAAAATCGTCATGAATTCTAGATACCAAAAGATTGACCTGTTCTTTAATATAATTTTTCATATCATCTCGAAATTTATTTTGAAGAAAGTTTTTAATCACACCCACTTCTTTTTCTAATTCGTCCGTGATTTTAGTATCCAAAGCAGACAATTGTCGTTTCAACGTATCTTTGTCAATGGGAAGTGTGTTAATTATATCTTGAACATCTGATTTTTGCTTCGCGATCTTTTCGTTCAAATTGGATATCGAATTTTGTACCTCGGTTTTGTCCGCGGTCTTGTCTAGTTCTGCTAGTAATTCGCCAAGTTTTCTTTCCAAAGCGGTTAGTTTTCGTTTCAATCTATCCTCGTTTACATTTGAGTTATCTATTAAACGTTGGACGTCTATTTTTACCTTCGTAATCTTATCTTCTAATTTAGATATTAAATTTTGCAACTGACTTGTTTTATCCACTTGAATAAGACGTTTCAAACTCGTTAACTCTTGTTGTAGTTTGGGTTCGTCCACAAGATTTTTAATATTTCGTCTGATGAATCTTTTCACGTCATATATTCTATTTTCAAC